ACTCAAGTTTTTTGGAGACATTTTGACAAAATTGCAAAAAAAAGTTCTACGGTTCCAAATACTTTTTCAAGTCACTGTCAGTAAAAATGTGTGCAGCAATGCAGAGCAATCAGTGTTTCATAGTTTATAGGAGAACCACATGACCTGTTCCTGCATCCTTCTCCCTGCATGTCGCTTCTAGACTTTCCAATTTAATCAGTCGCTGGCTCGTGTTTACCTGTCGTTTTTCTTCAAAGAAAGAATATTTCAGGGGAACCAGCTTTCCTGAATGCATTCCGGCAAAAAACTCACTTTATCTTCCAACAATTCAGGACGCTAACATGTGTCACATGGATACAAAGACAACAGAAGAAGAAAAATCTATTCATTGGCAAAGGTCTTCCCCCACTTTCGACCAAATCATAAGCATTCCACAGCCACTAAGGGAGATATCCTTCTGAGACAGAGTTGTGTCTTCAACCCAACTCTTTTGTCCACTGTTTACAAGAGGAAATGTCTTCATCTGCGAGGGAAGGGGCGGCGGGAAGGGGTAGAGGAGGAAGAAAGAGGGGAGCTTGTGAGTGAGCGGAACAAGATAGCCGGAGAAAGAAGAGAGACTGAGACTCCGGCCATCTGTGAATGTGGAAGCGAGCCAAACCACTGCCCACAGAGCACAGGCACATGCCTAACTGCCTCTTTCTGCCATGGCAGTCCTGCCCTGCTTCCACAAACAACAGGCTTGTTGAACCACACACAAAAACACAGCAGCCACCAAGGACAAACGCACCCTTGTGGTCATAAATAAGGCCTAAACATAATATTTGTGGAAGTGTAATTGCTCTGTAGTAACGGCTGAATGACACCACTGCATGCATACATGCAGGTTCACCCATTTTTGTTAATGTTTGCAAGAGGAGCGGTGAAGCATTTCAGCTGCAGGTCTTAATGTTTCTAATTTAGTTGTTTTGTTTTTTTACTTTTTATGGCAAAAAAAAAAATAGGTAAAATGCCAGAACTGCAACAGAAACAGACTAGAAAGGAAAAAAACTTGCAATGTAGCTCAAACTGGAAGGACAGTGTTGCAACTTGTGTTTGTTAGCAGATGAGCAGCACAGAAATTGAACCACAATGTCAACTCAGAGGCGTCGCGACCTTTCCAGGGAACTCTCCCTGGTTTTGGTCCGAGATCCAAGTTCCAAGAATCACAGTGAAAAAAAGCGATTTAAGGTTTTATAGCTGCTGGAGGCAGAGTGTTGAGACGGAGCAAAGGGAGAATTTTACTGCACTGACCGAAACCATTTCACCAGAAACCCTTGGAGATCTACTAAACGTCCGACATCAACATAAATGCATCCAAAACAGCTCAAGAACGGTAACCGACCTCTTCACTTGCATGTTGTTTAAATTCTCCTAAAGAGATGAAACCTTTTAGCTTTTAGTGGTCTGTGAAGGTTATTCTATGAACAAGGTGTTAAATAAAGTTCTCCAAGTTCAGAAAAAAATATCTGGGTACACCAAGGAAAAGCAAACCCAAGAACCAGAAATCCTGCAATGTGTCTGAAGGTGTTAAAAGTTCTTAAATAAGAGAGAAGTTTACCCAATACAGGTTTGTGCAAACAAAGCATACCAGTGCGGTTGTCTCGTTTGGCTCAGTTACAGTTTAAATTATAAAGTACAACAGTGGAAATCTACACAACGGAATCAGATTTTAAAGTTAAAAAGGAGCGTTACACTGAATCTAATCTGAAGGTTCTGGGAAATAAATAAAATCTATTCAATTTATCACAATGTTGTTCCACGTGACATCCAAAATGGAAACCATTTTCAATTCGTGGAAACTCAATTTCTTATTCCTGAATGCATCTTCACCGCCATCTCCTGAAACAAATTCTTGACCAGATCAGATGGGTTTGTGGGAAAAGCAAAAGAGTTAGAGAGTTTTCAGTAGATGTTAAATGAATAGACTTTCTTTGAAATGGAAAGCACACTATGGCTCAATTACTGGTTTTGAGGAAGAAATGGTAAATAAAGTCGGACATTTTACGCCGCCAACCTTTCTGCACAAGAGAGACTGCAGCTTGAAGCCATCAGAATTGCTTAGATTTTGTGAAAGCTACACTTTGGCTGATAATCCTTTGAAACACGGAAGGAAATTTTGAAAACCAAGCAGACTATAGCTGAAAGACTCGTGGAGACGTACAAAACAGACTATCACTGTGCAGATAACATATTTAGCATAGCTAAAAAGTATCCTGTAGTGACTGTTTTCTCTAACAGACCAAAGTTTAAGTTCACAGGCCGTTTAGTCATTCTTTACTAAACTTAGCTCTAGTGTATTGGTTTCTTTCTATGCCATATTTTTGTCAGATATTATGATGTTAATTTGTCCTCTAGTCAGTATTTAAGGCCTGTGTGACATTATTACCATTAGTCAGAAAGGTATGCAGTTTTTCTCTTATTTTCATCCTCCTAAAGTAATGGCCCAACTCATTTGTTTTGTTTTGTTTTTTTGCAAAGAAATGAAATAAATCACTTTTGACAAAAATGATTTGTAGGCCATTATTTTAGGAAGATGACAATATGATGTACTGTGGCTTGTTTTTGCAGAATTACTCACATATCTCATCAACAATTTTTACACTTAGCAACCAAATTGTTCCTTAACTAAACTGGTTAAAATTCCTTCTACTTTTGGATTGTGTGGAAGGACAGCTGGTTGCAGCAGCACGAACATAAATATTGTCACCAGTTATCAATAATGAAAAATACAGATCAACTATATTTAACCCCATTTCAATAAAACCCTACAAACTTTTTCATATAAGGTTATCGTCCAGGTAAAAATCAAATTATGTATAGATGCTCTGTCAATGGAGTTTTATCCTTGATAGACATCAACATTTTCTGAAATATGAAAGTATGGTGTCATCTGCATAAAGTTGCATGCCACCTACTGACATGGTCTTCTAACGGTTTTTACTTCATAACTGAAACTAAAATATGATGGCTGAACTGTTCTAAAAGTGCTGTTAAACCAACTTTTATGACATTTCACAACGTCAGCCGGTAGATGTCATTACAGACATGAATACAAGCTTCATTTCTCAACACCATACATTGGGTCTTCACACCCTGTGAGCATGAATAAAAAAAGTTATCAGTAGGAACTGCTGCATATAGCTTAAACAGACATCCATCTAAAACGGTCACACGTACACAGTAGAGGTTTACACAAAAGCTAGAAGTCAAAAATGACAAAACTTGCAATGCAATTGTAAGATGACAAGAAAACCAACAAAATTAAGAAAAATCAAAAAATCCTCAGCAGGGAGTATTTAAAAAAAAAGGTAAAAACATATAAATACCTGATGACTTGTCTCTAAAACATCTTTCCTGAGCACACAGGGAATACCTAGCACCCATTATTCTTCTGCACAAAGAACTAATGGGCGTCACGTCAAAGACAAACGCTTCAAATGACTCAGTACAAGCTAACACAAGGAAGACATCATAAAAGGCAGAAACGTGACCTTACAACTTGAAGATGGTTGTTTCTGCCTACACTTTTTATCTTTACCCACACAGCAGGTGAAATAAATAGAGGCATGCAAACCAGAGGGATATTTTCAATGCGCTACAAGAAAAAAAAAAAAAAAAGGAAGTTCACGTCTTACTCAAAAATTTATGCTATGTCAATGTGTCAGTGTATGATAACATAAATAACAGAGTGGCACGTTCCTTCTGATAAATCCCAGGAGGAAACTCCAGCATCGTGTTAGCGCCCGCTGAAAGAGGGGCCTTTTATCTGAGGTCAACATGCACAAATACAAAGTTGGGAGACAGCTTCTTGTCTGCTGTAAAAGGTCCAACTGATAAGAACATGGTGAGGACTTCTGTGCAACTGAAAGCTCATTTTATGTGTTTGCATTTGTGTGTGTGTGTGTGTGTGTGTGCGTGCGTGTGTGGACTAGTACCAGTACTACAATACAAAGGCTCTAAAAAGTCAAAAATGTTAATTATTCATCACACCATTCCTTTTTAATGAACTGCTAAATGCTTGAAACTGTTAAATTATAGTTTGAGATCTGGAATCTTCAGTTTTTCACAGCTTTTAATGCCTAAACTTTTACATTTTAACTACATTTAACACACATTTAATGTACGGGTTAGTGGTAAGAAGTGACAAGTTGTAGCCTATACAACTTGTTGTCAATGTCAATTTAATGTTCTAGTAGGAACAGAAATACAAACTTTTGTGTGTTCAAAAATGTTAATACCCAGCATCCACCTGCAAGATTTTTGCAGATTATGCATTCTGTGGAAAGATGTTTGTTAGGGGCCTGTGTGAGCACAAACATGACCGTATAGTTGTTATTGAAGATATTTAGATTAACTGTGACACCTGTTATAGATCTGGGGCCCCGTTACGTGGAGGCTTTAATATAAACATTCAACAAACAATATTTTCTTTCTTAACAAGACTCTGGCATACTTTTGGACATTTAGATGGCCTCTCCTCTATAGGCAGACTAACAAGAGCTTATTAGATTCCAGCGACAGACTCTGTTTTTAGGCATTAACCAAACATTTGAGATTTGATTTGGGTAAGGGTCCTTCCAGAAGCTTAATATTTGTGATATCTGATCTGCCCACTTTTGTGTTTGGGATGGACACACCCAATCGTGTCCACTTTTCAAGCACCCAGCTGTTGCAACACCAACTCTCTGGCAGTAAAACAGACCTTCAGCATGATGCTGCCACCACCATGCTTGACAGATAGAAGGTGTCTGAAAGCTTCCCATCTCCATACTAAAAAACTGGATTCAGCTAAATGTCCTCATAAGGATGCAGATACTAATTAGTTTGCGTGTGTGCAGAAACCTCTAACAACCACCTGCACGATTCCTGCAAATTATTAATGCACTTGCTGTGAAATTCCTCATTGCAGACGAGTGCATGCCCTACTGTAAAAGTAAAATTGATATATAATTATTATAATTTTTTTTTTTTTTTTTTTTTACCTGTGACAGCTGTCTTGGATCAGGAGCCCCGAAAAGGGAAGAGCTGGAGCTGAAACTAATGGCCCCCCTCCGGCTGAGGACATGCTTGGGAACCGGCCTGTCTAGAGGCAAAACCGGCAACTGATAACATACTTCCATTGAACAGTCAGGGCTGGTTCCGGATCAAAAATATAAAAGAAAAAAAAAATAAAACATGCAATGTTTAAAAAAAAAAAGGAGAGAGAGAGAGATATGACTGATGAATTGGAAAAATTTCCAAAAAAGGCGAAAGGAAATAGCTTTCAGTATGGTGAAAACGATCTGACACGAAGCTGTGAAGTGTTTCTGTTCATTATGAGCGACTCAAAACTTGTCCAGATCGCCTTCATCGATGCTGCGTCTCGTCTACCTCCGCCGTTTTACATCCCTCGGTGTCATTCTGTGGGAAACTATTCATGCCGTCGCTGTTGCGTTCGCCCCTTTCTTTCTCATTTTGCTCAAATCCGGGCCCACGGACGACGAGACCTTCTTGCCATTTTCTGGGTCTTTATGAAATCGCTTCCTCATTTTTTCAAAGCAGAGCAAAAACGTCCGCTCGTCCGGGCTCCGTGGCGTCCCCGCGGATCCGCATATCGCAAACCCCGAGATGAAAACAAAAGGCACGACCGCTTCCAGAAAATATCATCAACATATCATTTTCTGGTGCCAACACCGGCGGGCGAAGGAGAACAGAGGCAGCTCCGGGAATGGGGGGGATCCTGACGGCGGCCGCGGTCGTGAAGGACTCCTCTCTCATTCAGGACTCGGCCGGTGGTGAGATATATTCAACATGTAGGGGCTTTTCCGTCTTTTTTCTGAGGCTGCATGTTGAAGGAGCTGTTGTCTAATTCACCGCTGGTTGTAAAACACAAAGTGTCTGGCTCAGAGAGAGGAGAGAGGGGAACCCCGACGTTCCTCTCATTCACCGCCGCTCCGCTGGGGTCCGCAGCGACTTCAGTGGCACAAACATAAACGCGTAAAACAAAAAAAGAACAAAAAAGAACCTACAGAGAGCTTAATTCTCTACAACTACCTGCCTATCGTCCTAAAAATTACCCTACTGTGTGGTTTTAAAGCGCACAACACCTGCCAGAGATGGTGCTGTTGGAGCGAGCACCCCAAAAAACGCCCTTGTTTACGGTTAGCCAATAGCGTGAAGGCAGTGTTTGTAAAACAGACGGTGATTGGATAATGCTTTCAGGGCTGTATGCAACGACACACGTGAGTGGCTGCGGAGCCAGGGCGATCCCTAGAATTATATGAGCAGTCATTTGCAGACGGCGTGGACTTTCTCAAGGGTATTCCTCCACAACGGGGCTTGCCCTGCAGCGGTCCACATTATTGCCTGTGATTACCTTTCTCTCATGAGTCATACTACTTGGGAGCTGAAATACAGCTTAGCAAACGTTTCAAAATGTTGAATCTCTGTTAAGCTATGGCAATTTTGCTGCATGTGTGTGGTGACTAAAAATGTCAAATTTAACCACACAGACGCATTTAGAAGGAAGAATATCATCAAAAAGTTCACTACCTTTTCAATAAATCAAACCTCACATATTGTATGCATTCATTCCACATAGAGTGCAACATTTCAAGCCTTAATATTTGTTAATGTAAATGTTAATAATTATGGCTTACAGAAAACGAATACCTCAAATTCAGTGTCTCTGAAAGTATGATTAAAACATAGGATACATTTTAAAAAGGATATTTTAATCTGAAATGTCAGACTTCCTAACAGCATATTCATTTCTATGCACTAAATACTCTCCTTTTGCAAAATTATTGCGTTAATGCAGCATGCCTTGGAGGTTATCAGCCTGTGGTTCTGCTGAGGTGTGATGGAAGCCCAGATGTTTTTTTAATGGTGGCCTTCAGGTCATCTGCACTGTTAGATCTGGTGTTTCTTCTCTTCTTCTCCAATACCTTCTAGGTTGTATGTCAGGCGGGTTTGCTGGCCAATCAAGCTCAGTAACACCATGGTTATTGAACCAGCTGTTAGTACCTTTGGCAGTGTGTGAAGGTGCCAAGTCCTGCTGGAAAGTGAAATCATCCCCTCCATAAATTTGTCTGCAGAGGAAAGACGGCTGCTCTGACTGTGGACTCCAGTAGATGACATGGCACCTGAATCATCACTGAATGTGGAAACTTCACACAGGACTTCAAGCGATGTGAATTGCTCCACTCTTTCTCCAGACTACATAGTTTTCCCAATTAAATGCAAACTTTACTTTCATGTGGAAAGAGGACTTTGGATCACTGAGCAACAGGTCAGTTCTTTTTCTCCTCAAGCCAGATAAGAAGCGTCTGACGTCTCTGGTTCAGGATTGTAGCTCTTCATGCGCTGACTCTGGCCTCAGCCCACTCTTTGTGAAGCTTCTTAAATTGATTTTGCTTGACAATCCTCTCAAGGCTGCACTTCTCTCTGTTGCTGATGCGGGATTGCCTACCAAACGTTTTTCCTTCCACTCGACTTTTTTCAAATATTCTCGGATACGGCATTCTGTGAGCAACCAGTCTCTTTAGCAGTTACTTTTTGTGGCTTACTCTCCTTGTTGATGGTGTCAATGAGACACCTCTACAGCCTAAAGCAGTCTTCCCCAGGATATGTGATCTTCTGACCCAGAATGAGAAACTATTTGTAGGCTCAGGAAAGCGTCGCAGATGTTTAGAGATTATTAGCTTATTAGGATGTGACACTTGGAGATGCCAATATTTAACTTTTTAGGATACTCTAATGTTTTGATACTCTAAATGATGGGTTTTCCTTAAGAGTAAGGCAAATAAAATATTTGCCTAAATGTGTAATTGCTCTATGTTCACTTCCTGAAATAAGAGACATAAAAATACATTTTTCATGATATCCTAATTTCTCCAAATTAGGATATCAACTGGTAAACATTATAGTGTTTTCGATAAATAAAATGATCCTACATTGTTTTCAGGACACTGATGTATTGGAACACTACCTATCACTCTTGTTGAAGTAATTATGTTTTAAAAATGCAGCTTGAATGCTATGAGTCTTTGGTCTTTCTTTTTTCATTAGGAGCTGCCACTCAGCTGCCTAATACACTTTTCCTTTACTTAAATGAAAAACTGAAACTGAAGAAAACCACATAATCAAATCATATTAAGCACTTTTTTTGTTTAAAATTGTTGTGTAAATGCCTTGATATTGTACTATTTTTACTCAAGGTTATCATACTGTTTTAATTTTATACCTACCTATACTTTTTTTTTTACATATACCCTTTTGATTTAAATAATTATCTGTTTCACCAGAGAAATAGCTGCCTTCCTGTACTATCCAAGTATCACCAGTATTGCATTAGTCATGCAGAATATGCCCATTTTCACTCAAGGTTTCTCCTGCCATATCCATGTGTTGGGGGACAATGAGTGCACCATGGCAACAGCCATCCAGGGCCAATGTCAGCACAAGCATAAGCCTCATGCTCCCTATTTCCATGGCCCTGAACATGGCTGTCGGCCATCATCCTCCCAAGTGAACTGCACTCCACATTTAAGGGCAAGTAAAGTAAAATAATGCATTTGTCCATTCTTGCATGATTTTATTTATAGAGGATCTTGTCCTTACAACATCCAACAACAATTATTTCAATTAAGTTTGTTGTTGTTGTTTTTGTTTTTTGAGACTTTTACCTTTAGGTAAAACATGTGTGTTGCTAAAAATATCAAATAAATTATCTTATTATTATTATTATTATTATTATTATTATTATTATTATTATTGTATAATATTTATCTAGGTTAAAAAGATAAATAAAGTTGAGTAAAATACTCAATTTACTCAAATACTTGAACATGCTGATAAATGTTCTTTCTTTGGAGCTAACAGTTGGGTAAAATGCATGAAAAGTTGGTGTATTTCAATAAACCCAGGCTAAAATTATGTTTCTGGAACCTCCTCAGATACTCTAAAAGTCTATGAACCATGTCTGAAAGCCGAGTACAATCTAGAAAACCAGGCAATTTAGGTGAAGTCCAAGACCTGGCTGACGGCTACACAAAAACATGTGGCTTGTCTGCAACTTGCTGAGGAACATTTATGAAAAATATTTTGATGATTAGGAATATTTGTAGATTTGAGAAAATCCAGCTAAAATTTTTGAAGTTGTGGAACAATATTTTTGTAAAAATAAATAAATAAATAAATAAATAAAGTTGCATGCAAAATAAGGTTGCTGCAGTGGAAAAAGAGAGGGTTAAGCACATCTTTAAAGCTCAAATATGCACAAAATTTATTCTGATGATGAACTGTTTTTTTTGTTTTGTTTTTTTTTTATTAAAAAGAAGTTTTTCAATTTCTAAAACTTGACCTCCTAAAACATTTTCTCGTCATATGAGAAAAGTAAGTTTTTATTTGTATTAGATGAATAAATAGTACTACAATAAAGAAGCATATATGGAAGTAACAAAGGATTCGGGATGCCTTACTGCTTATTTACTGCATACCCTGTAAAAGTGGAATAGCCTTGAATTGTTTAAATGGTAAAAAAATTATTAAAAAGGAACACTCTTAGTTACCAAGCAGAGATCAGGGGTTTTCACTCAGACAGCACTTTATTAATTCTTTTAAGATGGAGAATAACAAGCAGTGTTTGTACAGTCTGTCTGTCCTAACTAGACAGAGAGTCACTACCTTGTTGAGGTTTCTCACAAGGAGTCTGGGAATCAGCCTTTCTGGCTCCGATCAGCAGCAGCGTAACTCTTAGGATGTTGACAAGACCTTCAAAACCTTGAAAATAGTGGAGCGCTTCGTTCTTATCTCTAAACCCTCCCTAAGTTCTAGCAGAGTGAAAATACGGTAAATACTTCTTTTCAGGTTATACAAACAGTTAAGAAGAAGCTTTTTTCAAAATTCCTGGGAAAAAAAATCATCAGATCCTCAAATCTAATGTTAACGAGCCTAATCTGAAGTTGCACTTTCAGATATCTGTTGTACCCTACTGAGAATCTGCAATCCGGCGGTTTCCGGACGACAAGTTTAATAAGTATTACACCTGTCTCAGTGTGTGCACACAGCACAGTATATATCTTACACCATCTACATCAAGTTCTCATGGGGGAAATTGTTTAGGAAGCCGTTGAGTTAATTAATTTACCCCACAGTCTGTTTTTGCCTTTCACAGTAGTGCAGACACACAGAACATGCCAAGGGGAACACATTTGCAGCAGGTATGATGAGCTCTTGAGTAACGGTCTCCAGAGCTTAAATACAGGTGAGCTGCTAATTTCCTTCACAGGTTCAGTACCTGCTTGCACTGCTCCCCAGTGCAATCCTCACATTGGCTCTACTTCTACTTACAAGTAATTGATTTATGTTAAGGTAATTCACAAAACTATCGTTCTCCCTAAATTCCAATATTTTTCATGGAGAAGCATATTTGTTCTTTAAATCTTGTCACATCATTTTAGGAGTCTATATTTGCATTATTGTCAGGTTTTATTCGAAGCAAAGAAGAAGAAAAAAAGAGAACATGGTTACTCTTTGCTTGCAGAGCCATCTTGTGGAAGAAAGGTGTAATTACAACAGCAGTCTCTGTTAAACGTATGCCATCGGTGTCAAGCTAATATTCATTTTGGGCCACATCAAGGTCATGAAGTCAGTCATCATTGGGCGGCTCTCTTTGCATTATTAATAAGTTTTTAATTTTTAATTTGACGTGTGCCTCAAGTTATTGTTGTTACCATTTTTTTTAAATAATCTGTATGTCCCATAAAATTATTGAAAGCAAACTTTGACTTTGACTAGATCTTAATTTTGACAAGCAACCCCTCAACATGATTCTGCCAGCACCATGTGTCACCATGGCAAGTTTGTATTTTGTGACAAACAGCAGTTGGGATTTCCTAAAACAGTTTTTAAATGATAGCTTTCTTCTTTCCACTCTTCAATTAAGGAAGGATTAGCTACATGCGTGACTTATAGTAGTGTCAGCAGATTTTCCCACCTGAGCTGCCAATGTGTGCTCCTTGTGAACCTTGACGTCCCAGGTTCACATTCTTCCTCCCCAGAGGTTGGATTTATTTTGCTACCTAAGGGACCCACCTTGATCCTCACCTGCTTTCCTGGCCTTCTGAGGACACCAACCACCTGTAAGGTTGGATCTGAGCTGTAGAGCTGCTTGCTCCTTCAAGTAGACCTACCTGGATTCTTTCATGGTTCTCCTTCACACCTCCTTTTTCCTTACCCAACACCATTTTTGCTTGCTCTCTGATGGGTGCCTGCACCCACGTTTGGAGTAATACACTGGGGGACCTCAACCAACAACTCCATGTGGTCTTCCAGCACCACGGAGAGACAACCAGGACTCAAGATTAACCGACCTATTTCAACCCAAACCTGTGGATGACAAATTAAAAAAAACAAAAACAAAAAAAAAAAACAAAACAGAACCATAGTAAGGAGGTGAAAACTGCCATAAATTCAGTATAAAGTTGTGGCCTTGCTTGAAAAAGCTAGCTCTTTTTCTGCCACTAGATGGCATCCCTTTTCCATGTTAAAACCTTATTAGGTTTTATGTATGTTTGACCTGCCTAATAATTTTAATCTTCTGCAAAACATAAGTTTATTTTTTGAACAACTCTTAATTGAGACTTATCTTACAAATTTTCTAATTATTTTTGCTTTGCTGC